AAGAGTGACTTCTCGGTTTTCTCGTTTCCAGATTCCTACCGATATTACGCATGAGCATTGGGAAGGATTCAATTTAATAAAGAGTGACTTCTCGGTTTCTCGTTTCCAGATTCCTTAATATTAATGAGCATTGGGAAGTTCAATTTAATAAAGTTTTCGGTTTTCTCGTTTCCAGATTCCTACCGATATTACGCATGAGCATTTGGAAGGATTCAATTTAATAAAGAGTGACTTGGTCCGGTTTTCTCTTTTCCAGATTCCTACCGATATTACGCATGAGCATTTGGAAGGATTCAATTTAATAAAGAGTGACTTTTTTCTCGTTTTTCTCTTTTCCAGATTCCTACCGATATATACGCATGAGCATTTGGAAGGATTCAATTTAATAAAGAGTGACTTTTTTTGGAAGTTTTCTCGTTTCCAGATTCCTACCGATATTACGCATGAAGCATTCAATTTAATAAAGGAAGGATTCCAATTTAATAAATAAAAGTGACTTCTTGGTTTTTCTCGTTTCCAGATTCCTACCGATATTACGCATGAGCATTTGGCAGGAATTCAATTTAATAAAGAGTGACTTCTCGGTTTTATCTTTTCCAGATTCCTACCGATATTAAGCATGAGCATTTGGCAGGAGTCAAATTAATACACCGTAGCATTGGTCCTTTTTTTCTCTTTTCCAGATTCCTACCGATATTACGCATGAACATTTGGAAGCATTCAATTTAATAAAGAGTGACTTTTCGGTTTTTTCGTTTCCAGATTCCTACCGATATTACGCATGAGCATTGGGAAGGATTCAATTTAATAAAGAGTGACTTATCGGTTTTATCGTTTCCAGATTCCTACCGATATTACGCATGAGCATTTGGAAGGATTCAATTTAATCAAGAATGACTCGGTTTTATCGTTTTTCTATTACGCATTTTTGGAAGGATTCAATTTAATCAAGAATTCGGTTTTCTCGTTTCCAATTCCTACCGATATTACGCATGAGCATTGGGAAGGATTTAATTTAAAAGAGTGACTTCTCGGTTTTATCGTTTCCAGATTCCTACCAATATTACGCATGAGCATTTGGAAGGAGACAAATTAATACACAGTGGCATTTGTTTTGTTTTTTCCTTTCAGATTTCTACTGATATTACGCGTGATGATTGAGAAGTAGACAAATTAATACATCGTGGCATTTACTTTTTACTCGTTTCTAGATTTCTCCCGATATTACTTGTGAGCATTGGGAAGGAGAAATTAACACACAGTGGAATTTTGAATTTTTTCGTTTCACACGTGAGCATTTGGAACAATGCTGTGTAATATTAATCAACTTTTGGGTCTTATCTCTTACTCTTTTACATTCTGTTGCCCTTATTGCTATAATGTATTTAAAAGTGACCCTTATTGATTTCATCGTGTGTTCTTTTACAGATTCATTCTGATATCACCTCTCTAAAATGCAAAGCAATTGATAGTGACATTGTGGGGTTCATCGCTTCGTCTTTTACATACTCTTTCCAATATTTCTTCTAAACTTGGAAAATGGTAACGCAATAGTTTGTGACATATTGGAGTTTGTTGTTTCCTCTATTTTATACTCATCCAGATATTACCTCTGAGCATTGAGATAGGAACAATATAATAGAATGTGTCATTTTCGGTTTTATCTTTTCTTTATTTCTAGATTCTTCTTGATATTTTCTTTTTATTATTGAAAAATAAAAATCCTAACAGAAAATGACATTTTAGTTTCTAGAATTTATTTTCCTAAATATTTCATAATTATGTTAGATTCAATCACCCAATTTCTCCCAGATATATTGTATTAATGTTTTCTTAGATGCAAGAGGGCTGTTGTTAATATTGCAGGTTTTATTGATTCACTTTTTAATCATTCAACTTTTTTCAGCTCTTTTGATTACTGCTTTTACCCCCATTAACTTTTTTATATAATTTAATTCGTACATATTTTTCTTAGTGAAAATATTGGCATTTGATGATGAGTACATTTAATATTTAATGTAAAGATTTAATAAATTTGTAATTTATTTCCCAATATCTGTGTAACGTTATTGTTGTAGAAACTAATAAAAACACGAAACTAAATCAATCGTTCCTAAATTATTATTTATTTACTTTCATACTTCGTCAGTTAATGTCGGCATGTGGGTGTGTGTCTTTTGGTGTTTTCTACGAACGTGTATTCTTCTCGCCAGGATGCAAGAAAATTTCTGCTTTTCCATCTCGCATGGGAATGTATATGTATTCATATCACCTCGTTGTCCCATATGTGAACATCCTACGAGAAATTGAGTCTATCACATTTTTAAATGTCGGGGACAGCCAGTGACACGAATCTGCACGCCGATGTACTCATCTTTAGAGAGACAAATTCTATTTTAATATTATCTGGTGTGAGTCCAGCACATATTGGAGTCGCCACAGACCAATCTTTCTTAGAACATATGTTACTTATTAACATTAACTTCGATTCAGACAATCTAGCATTTTCTGGCGTGAATTAAGTAATACATCTTTTTATGACAAAAACATTTTTCTCTTCATACATACACACACACATATATATATATAGCGTTACATTTTTGTCACAATTCGTTATCTCAGCGAATGCTGTTTATCTATGTTTGATTCCGTTCCAATTTTTTGCCTTAAAAATTGTTATATGCTCAAATTATTTCTAACACCATGTCCCTTCAGAATTTAGACGACTATAGCTTTTTACGGATCCTTTTTCGTTATCATTAAACGGCTATGCGTTCCTGGTTAAAACAGTAGAGTGGTTTTCTGTTGCCTTTTCCACGGTTTAGTTTCCCCTCTATTCTACTGGGTTTAGCTATCCAAGTCGAATCTAACCTGCTATTTAACCCATATCAACCAATTATTATGATGTCAATATCAGTTATAATTTTTTCTTTCTTCACTGAATATTATATCAGTGTCATCAGCTTTTTATATTTTTATATCTTATACCTTTGTATTTCACTGCTTTAATATCGTTAAACAAATTATATTTGTACTTTTCTATTTGATGCTAAGAAATTATATTTACTTACTGAGCTGTAATATATTTTATAGTTAATTGCTGAGATTATCATTTTTCCTCACGACAATTACAGTATGGGTGAATCGCAAAGTTTCTAGATGATTTCCTATACTACTTTTTAAGCACTGTTTAAATTCATTGGTCCGAATTGAATAATTAAAAAAGTTTTTGTTAATTAGAATTCATTAGATCTTAGTGTATCCACGAAATTTGTCAGAATGGCAAAATAGTAATATTTCTATCACTGGACTCATTCTTTGTAAATTATTTTTGTAGAAAAATTCATTTTAAAATAATCTTACTGTCGGAAACAATTGTAAGTAAGTAAGGGCATGTAGACCTGGCAGATTCCATCATTCTCTATGTCAAGCCCCAGCCGATGTCCTCCAACTTGGAGGATCGACTTAGTCTCGACCTGATCAACTTCTCAAATATGACCAAGTCATTAAATGTTTCAATTTATATTTTAACTCTTCATTTATAGGGATGAAAACTTTATTCTAATGGAATACTCCTAAGTTCTTACACGCCCATTTACTTCTCCATCACCTAATGTGGCATCCCATTGACAAAATATTCTAAGATAAAGTTTTCATAATTCTATGAAATATTTAAACTAGTAAATTAAATTATATTGGTCTTAAAGATTAACATTCCAGAATTCCAGCGATTTATATGGCAAATAATAGTACTACAGAAACTACTCTCATTTAACCACCATAGAGAAACTTTTCATGGTGGAGCGACTACATCGAATCAATAGCTGCATCTACTGCAAGAAAAGTTGGATCGCCGTGTTGTGCCAGAAGATTTTTTTCTCGTCAGAATCAATCTTGCACATTTACAATTCTACCATTCGTCTGTGCGTTGGATACTGTCGCCATATCTGGCCTGGTGCTTTGCTGTTCATCTCGAGGTTCTTGACAAAATCCAAAGAAGGATCTGAAATGTAATCGACCCAGACTTGGCATCTCGACTTCAGTTACTTTCTCACAGAAGTGACGTGGCTTCCTTCTGTCTTTTCTACAAATATTTTCATCGTAACTGCTCTGACGAGCTTTTTTCTCTGGTGCCCAGACTTCATGAATTTAACCGTGCTGCTAGATTGGCATCTATGTCCCACCCTTTTACTGTTGAAATAGCTAAATGCAACCGCCATTTTTACTCTAATAGTTTCTTTTCTCGCACTTCCCGCCTGTGGAACTCCCTTTCGTTTTCTTGCTTCCGTGATAAAAACAAACTTCAAAAATTTAAAATCAACATCAATGTTTTATCTTCTTGAAGACTGTTCATCTTTTGTCCTTTCCCCAACCCTACCTATACTGAGACTTTCATTCTCTGTACCCAGTACTAGTGTCATTCCCACCTTGCTTAGGTAGAAATGATTAAAAAATAAGAAATATCTATTGACCTTATTTAATATATTTTTAAATTCAACCATTTACTTCAATCGCAGATTTTAAATATCTCAGACTAATTTGGAAGTCCAAATGACTCTAATTCAAAAGGGATACTTTATAAGCACAGATATTTCAGTGAAAGCAAAGAAAATATTTAAAATGTTTTGTTCAGCTTAAAAATTTCAGTGTTAAAAGGATATTATCTTGCCATATCTATTTCAGCGTGTAAGGCTCAATACATCTGAGAAATGACGCGAGTTAGGCATCGACAGACATTATGGTTATATTATTCAAACGAGTAACTAGTCGGTTGGCTAAATAACGTTGCTACGTAAACATGTCAGCAGTGTGGAGACAGCGTAAACATAATGTTTGTATGCTAAATCGTGGGGATGAAACTGACTGTCCGCTTGTTGCCCAGTTTCATAAAGCAAATAGTTGGCATCGGGGAGGCAAATGGGGCAAGGGTATGGTCCTAGTTATCTGGCTGAATGACTATATATGCCTTATCACAAAATGGTACCATGCATAGCGAAACTTTACAAATATGAAGAAGAAAATGGAATGGAAGAGGAAAAGAAGAAAAATATGAAGTAGAAAAGAAGATGTGGGAGGAAGAGGTAAGAAAAGAATAGAGGGATGATGATGATGATGATGAAGAAGAAGAAGAAGAAGAAGAAGAAGAAGAAGAAGAAAGGATGATAACATTTTAAAGAGGAGGTGAGATGAGAAACGAGCAGAGTTAGATGAGGTGATATCGGCATGAGGGAAAAAGGGTAAAGAAGAGGTAAATAGAAGGTATATAGGGAGTTGTACAATGCGGTGTGGGCAGAAAAGGGTGAGAAAAGGATAAAGAAGAGACGGAATAGGAGGTCTAGGGTAGAATTAAAAGCAATACAAGTGTGACAAAACCGTAAAACCACGGACAATAAAAGTTTGAAATAACAAGGTCAGCGACAATTTTTACAACTATAACAACTTCAAAAGCAACGATGATGATGTTGATAGCAATTTTAGGACGAGAATTTTCAGAATTCTCGTGTCAAAAATAAGTCCCATCGTTACCAAAAAATGTGTGTTCACAGATATAGTGACCTATTTTTAAAAAATACTAAAGGGAAATGATTATACATTGAGAAGAAAGGCATGTTTTTTTTCTCAAGAAATCATTAAAAAATTCATCAATTTTGTCAAGTGACACAATTTAAAATTTCATGCTAAAAATAATTTTTAAACTGGTTTTCTTTGTCAATACCTCCTTATTCTGATTGATTATAGATTTAATTGGTTATTTTGACAGAATCTAAATTTCAAAAGGAGGAAAATTACAAATAAAGAAGAAGAGGGTGAGAGTGAATGAGTTTTTGAGAGTAAAAAATGCGAGAGTAACAGAGATGAGGAAAAAAAGGACTGAGTGAATGAGTGAATTTGTATGAGTGAGAGAGAGATAGGGAGAGAGAGAGAGTAAGAGAGATAGAGGGAGATATGGAATGAGTGAGTGAGTGAATTTGTAGGAGTTTGAGGGTGATAATGAGAGAGATGAGTGAGTGAGTGACTTTGTATGCGCGTATGAAAAAGGGAAACATCAATACGGATAAAGGTAGATAGATAGAAAGGGAGAGAGAGAGAGAAGTGTGTGTGTGTGTGTAAGAGAGAGAGAGAAGTGTGTGTGTGTGTAAGAAAGAGAGAGAGAAGTGTGTGTGTGTGTGTGTAAGAGAAGTGTGTGTGTAAGAGAGAGAGAGAGAAGTGTGTGTGTGTAAGAGAGAGAGAGAGAAGTGTGTGTGTGTAAGAGAGAGAGAGAGAGGGAGAGGGAGAGGGGGAGAAATTTCAACATTTAACTCCTCCCAAACAGACATAAGTATCAATAAAATATTTTACACACAATACAATGTAGTACGTTTATTATCTTCAATAGGATATGTTTATCTTTGTAAAATTTCGGTATATCAAATAATTATGCAACGTACACAAGTTTACACGCACATGCATACCCAAATAGGTATGAATGAAGACAATATAGTTAAACTGATTTAAACGCACACGCGCGCATACACATACGCATACATACACAAATACATACACGCATACACAAATACACATACATACATACGTACGTACATGCATACATACACATATAACACATATACCATAAACAAGAAAAATGGTCTGGAATATGTAATAAAATTAAATGAAAATCAATAACAAAGAACTTTCATTGGTCTTTAATGAAACTTGTATATATAAGGTGTTCATAACTTATCTATACAAAGATTAAATAATGCTGATAACTCTAGAGGATTGTTTGGAAAACATCGGTAAACAAATAAAATTTTATTTAAACACATCAGAACACTTCAAGATGATTCTCAATTAGTGTTTTCGGCAAGACACTTTTTCCTATAAACATATTGTGTCCATCACTTGTTGATTTTTTTCATATTTGAACTGTAATTCTGCTGGATAAGAGTGTCCGATTTGGACTTTATAAACCAAAATGAACATGTGATTTATCTTGCAGAGATGTCATTTTCAATAAAAATCAGGGATTTTGAAAGAGAAAGAGAAATGAATGAAAAACAAAAAGCAAAAATAAGCAAAAATAAAGTTTTAAGAGTAATTCCTTAACAAATAAAAAGTGTATTGATCGATACAATAAACTGTAAAAATTGTTCAGGTAATTTATGGACGCCATATATATATATATATATATATATATATATATATATATATATATATATTGTGGACTCTCTCGTCGTGAACGACAAATGAGAGTAAAATAGAAGTGGGCGCATATCAGATTTTCGCGAATATTCAGGCCGGTAGGTGTATATACTGTTTAATAAATAAATAAAAACAGAGTATCTACTCAAATATGAGTAGCCATTTAAAATAACGTTTAAACAAATAAATTAAAAATATGTTGGATTTAATCCATTAGTAAACGCGTGCGCGCGCGCGCACACACACACACAGAGACATATATATATATATATATATATATATATATATATATATATATATATATATATATATATATTCACATTTGCATAAGTTGAATGTACCTCGGTACTTGCAAAAATGTGTTTAAAAATATTTTTAGAGTTCTGTAATAATAAAAAGTTTCAAGCAGCTTTTCTTTTTTAATCATTTCACTCCAACCAAGACAATAAAGCCACTAAGAGGAAAGATGCTTTTGTGTGTTAGAGAATATGAGAAGACATACTATTAATCAGAGAAGTCAATAAAAAATAAGAATTGAGAAGACAGGACATAACAGTTGACACTGCATTCAAATTTTACTGGGAAGCAAGACGCCGTAAGGGGGAGTTCCACAATTGTGAATTAACTGTTAACCTAGAAGAAATTGTTAGTATCGAACTTAGTGTTACATTTAGTCATTTCAACTGTAAATGGATGAGACCTTGTAGGCAATCTAGTACTTCGCTTAATTTCATAAAATCTAGATACCTCAGCGGAAAGTTCATCAGAACAATTACTATAAAATTATTTACATAAAAAACACAAAGAAGTTGCGTTAGCGCGGTGGGAAAGGTACCAAAGCTGAGATGTAAGGTAAGGATCTATAACATTGCAGATTCTTCTTTGGATTTTACCAAAAGTCTCTAAATAGGACCACCAGAACAGATGCGGCAGTAATATTCAAAGCATGGACGCATGACAAATTTATACAAATATGTAAGATAGATTCTAGGACGACATGTGAACCAATATCAGTAGCTGCAGACTTAGCAATTAATTCAATATACTGTTTCCAATTTATGTTAGCTGAAAGCGTTAGTCCGATAAGGGAATAAGTCACTCTACTGAAGGTTAGAGCAAGCCATGCTGATGGGAGGTAAGAAGGGTTCTTTCAGAGAGCAGTATCATTTTTTAGGCGTTAAAATTAACAAACCACTTCTAGATTCATTTAACAGAAGATTGTAGGTCATTTTTTTAGATCAGTTGCCAAGTTGACTTTATCAAATCGATCAGAATTACTATTAAGACATGAGTAAATAGACGTGTCATTAGATACCGACTTAAGAAGCTCATTTATAAAAATTAGAATCAGCGTACGTCCAAGGATAGACCAGTGGAGGATACCTGCATTTATGCAAAAAGAGTGGCCATTCAAGACATGTTTCATTTCGCGATTTGATAAGAAAGACTGAATCAACTCAAAAATTCGGCGAAAAATACCATAGCGGCCCCTGAGCCTTGTACAAGCTGAACATTATAATCGTTATATATCAGCTGTTGACCTAGAGAAACGAAAGATATATTGCTTATATGAAAGCAGACCTGCGATGTGAGATGCTTAACCAATTAAAGTTAAATAGACCCTCTAGTACTTTGTCAAAAAGTGGTAGAAAGTTAATAGGCTGAAAGAAGTATCAGATAGTTCGCCTGAGTTATTAAAGACTAGAACTACGGAAGAGGATTTCTAACAAGCAGGAAAGCAAGCAGTAAGGGCTTTATTGTAGAGTATAGAGAGAACGTTTCTTAAGAACTATGCAGGGTTACCATCAAGCTAACGTGATTTGTGAGGATCCAGTTTAGAAATGATAGCAGAAATCATGGATGGTGTTATATGCATACCACTCAGTATGGACTCAGTTCTTAGTGGAAAGTCATGCAAAGATACTCCGTAAAATTGATTCCTATGATGTGAACCAAAGAGAAGATTGTGGTTTCACCTGGTATTTGCAAGAAGGTTCAATAGCATCAATGCTGGCTTTAACCCAAGAAGAAACCACTGTGGCACAATTCTCAATAGGAAGTTTAAGAATATCAATCCAGAGGACATCTCGAATAAAGTCATGAAATAAATCCCAATCAGTATGCTGGTAACAGAAATAAGTCTTGTAAACAGGAGTTTCCTTTCTAATAGACGACTAGGAAGAAATATCAATAGATACTACAGCGTGATCCAAATTTCCAAGAGGGCAGAGTTATGATGTTCTACAAAAGTTAGAAGAGGAAGTGAGGTACAAATCAAGTAAAAGAGAATGTTGAACAGAGATGGGAAATAAGTACAGAAATCCTCTATCTGTCTGAGAGATTGTGCAATGTAAAAATTGAAAGTCTGAATATCTGCAACATTAGAATGCTTAAGCCACTTGATGTGATGATCATTAAAATAACCAATCATAAAAATATTCGAAGTTGGATGTAGAGAGAGAACCATTTCTATATTATCAGAAATTTATTACAGTCTTGAAAAGATGGAGAGCTTTAAAGTAAAAGGAGAAATAAAAAAAAAGTGAAATAATGAAAATTTTCCTTATATTTTTATTACCTTTAACGAGATAACGAATAAGTTGAATTAGTCACATATTTTTGTTTGATTTAAAAACTATATTGATTTGTAAAACTCGCTGGGTCTATTTATATTGAAATCTTGACCGGGCCTTCGGCTTATTCAGGAGTTTGATATTTACTAACTCTTTGCATATTCTCAGCATTGGAAACTCTCCTGGCTGCCGTTTGATCTGGGTTTTCATTTGCAAGGGAATTTCTTTTCCTCGCTGCAGCCTTTGCTCTCTTAATTGCAATCTGGTCTTCTGTTGGCGGAAATTTCTTTTTGCGAGGCATACTGCTGCCGTATGCTATAGGCAACAATAAACTACAGAAGAACTCAAAATTGATTGCTGCATTTAAGTATTGCAATTGTATTTAAGCTTACCTTTTAAAAGTTCAACAATAATTCTTCTGCCACCACTTAATTTAATGACAGTTTGAGGTGTATAGGTCCTTACTTTTCGTAAAAACAATTATTTTTATTTTATGGGTGACTTTTACTGAATTCCTAAATTAATTTCTAACTTATAAAAATGTTATTGTACAAAAAAATTTATCGCAAAAAATCACGAAAAAAATCGTCGCAAACAATCGCAGTAATGAAAATTTGGAAATCCAAAATTTCTGTAACATGAGCTATTGAAAGTTAGAGAGTTGTGTCCCTTTAATTGAAAACATGTGACACAGAGACACATTAACATTGGCATTTATTATATAGAAGAAGAAGAGCTATTGAAACTTAGAGAGTTGTATCCCTTTAATTAAAAAAGTGTGATACAGTGACGCACTGACATTGGCATTTATTATATACAAAAAGCTGTTGAGAATTGTGTCTCTTTAATTGAAAAATTGTGACACTCTGACATTCGCATTTATTATATAGAAGAAGGAAATGAGCGATTGAGAGTTGTGTTCTTTTAATTGAAAATGTGTAACACACTGAAACACTGACATTGGCATTTATTATATAGAAGAAATGCAGATGAGGTATAAACAATCACATCATGACGCATGGACGAGGTGGGTGAGGTCTTATTAAAGATTTGTTCTCTCACACTTTCAATGAAACATTTCAAACAGTGGGCTTAATTTGTCTTTTCTCTTTCAGGTGTGATTATAGAGCTGGTTGTGAACAGAGCGGTAATTAGATTCCTGTTTGTGAGAAACAGTTTAGAGAGAGAGACAACAGCAATTAGCTGGCTATATACCCCATCTTATAGTACTATTAAGTAATTTTATCAGTATTCCAAATGTAGTGTAATTTCATCGTAAACAGCCCCTATTCGTGGTTGCAGTCAGTCGGTCATAGATTTTGAAACTAATACAGAGAAGGTGTCACTTTAAGAGAATCAATGTATAAACCCTTGGAAACAAGAAAACTATGTCAAGATTACAGTTGGGTCTGAGACAAAAAAATAATCTGTGAACCCAGGTCTGTACAGAAACTGTCAGGGCGATGTATTCCTCGTTTACGTACACCATTCCAAATGGAAACAAGAATCTAAGGCCATCGTGAATGCGTGACCGTGTATAAAACCCAAACAATAAAAAATTAAAAATAAACAAAAAACGTGTTTAAGCTATTGCAGAAAGGATGAAACCAACAAAATTTTAGGACCAAAATAGTATAGTGCTTATGAATTAACCACAGTAACGGGGACTTATGCCTCATTACTATTGAAAAGAATCCACCTAAAAGAATCCACCAAAACCAGGAGAGGTAGTATTCTCAATAGGATTGTTCAGATTTTGAAAGACAATGCATCAATATACAATTCCAATGTCACAGAAATGGGAGAAATCTTAGTCGACTACAAAATTCGTACCCATTCTTCAAATTCTCACGACCTGGCACCATTTCATTTTCATGTCTTCTCTACCATAAAATTATATTTGAATGTCGGACAAGATGCTGATACATTTATTATAGAGGTAGTCTTTGCTGCAGTGCCAACATGTGTTGTTGTACATGAAAAAAAAAAAAAACAAAACAAAAAAACAAAAAAAAACAACAACAACAAAAAACTCTACTCAAACGATTAGTGAAGTTTCTAACTGTGCGCGGGTGAGGGTGATGTGGAGGATTACTCAATGTTTCAATTTTCGTTTCTCTCTATCCATTGGAAATAGGTCAGGACAACTCTTTAATGAAAGCTTATCGACATATATATATATATATATATATATATACACGTGTATGAGTATGCATGAATTTCTGTGTATGTGTGAGTGATTGTCCATATTTGTGTGTGTGTAGTTGCGTGACTGTGTGTCTTTGTATGTACTGGAAAACATAAAAAAACAGAGTAGCATAACAGATTAACAAAATGGTAGTCTGTTTAAACTTCCCGACCTTTTGGGTAAAAGCTTGTGTGTATGTATATATATATATATATATATATATATATATATATATATATATATATATATATGTGTGTGTGTGTGTGTGTGTGTGTGTGTGTGTGTGTATACACGCATGCATATGTATACATGTATGTATCTATATATAATGAAGGTTTCACTTTGCGTGTCCCTGTCAGGATCATGTTCAAATGATAAGTTACATTGACTTAATTTTTGTCATGAAAAATACCTAGACACTAAACACGAGTATAGGCACTGTGTGGTTGACCACGGTTTATTGTAGATGACGAAATATTTTCCACCCTGCGACGCTTTTCTAAAAATCTTGTCGCAAGCTTCTCGCCGCTCTATCGCTATTTCTATGGAGAGTGCTCAGATGAACTGCGCTGTTTAGTTCCACCAGAATCTTCACAGCTAAGACTTGCCAGGCCACGCGTACTGTAACGAATCCCCCCATTCCCTTCGTATATCATTGATGCGATATAAATTCCACTCGAGCAGCTTCTTCTCACGAACCGTCGCCATGTGGAACCAACTCCCAAGAGGTTGCTTCCTTGATCACTACAATCTTATCTTGTTCATGTCTAGGTTTAGCCGTTATCTTCCACACATATCCGTATAAGCTATGTCGTTTAATCTTTAACCCTCTACCTCAAGTGGTCCTCGGCCCTTAAACACGGTGAACATCATTGTAAAAATAAGTTTTAGAAGAAGGGTTATCCTACTCACTTTTTTAAAAAATCAATATTTAAAGTCTTAACTTAGTTTTGAATGCTAGTGAGAATTATGTAGCTATTTCTATCACGGTAGTTACATCCATCTGAAATGACCACCTTTCCTGGGTTAATGTAGTACAAGGATGAATAAACTTGAAAATGGATGCAGGAAGATTATTGTCGGAGGAATATTATAATTTCGAACGTATTACCTGAATACATATAAATTATTGTTCTACAAGAGACATTGAAAAGAAACACTCATCTATGTTAACCGCCAGATATTGTGTAGTTTACGAGCTTTAGAAGATTAACTGAATTTCCCCGACGAATTAGTCACAAAATCATTGGAACATTAGGACACGCCCCTCACTCAGTCACAAAAAATACATGAGTTCACAGTGTTAGTCGGCAGTAAGAAAAAAAAATCATTTCTCAGTGGGTTCACACTCTGGTGAGTCACAATGCTTTTATCAGAGAACGTCAGACCATTTTGTGTTCATGCTAACGACAGGAATCTAGTGTGAAAAAAAAAAGAAAAGAAAAAAGAAGAAAAATGAAAAGAAATAAAGAAGAAAAATGAAAAGAAAAAAGAAAAGAAAAATGAAAAGAAAAAAAGAAGAAAAATGAAAAGAAAAAGAAAAGAAAAATGAAAAGAAAAAAAGAAGAAAAATGAAAAGAAAAAAGAAGAAAAATGAAAAGAAAAAAGAAGAAAAATGAAAAGAAAAAAGAAAAGAAAAAAGAAAAATGAAAAGAAAAAAGAAGAAAAAAGAAAAGAAAAAAGAAGAAAAATGAAAAGAAAAAAGAAAAGAAAAAAGAAAAGAAAAAAGAAAAGAAAAAAAGAAGAAAAAACGAAGAAAAATAAAAATAAAAATGAAAAGAAATAAGAAAAGAAAAAAAGAAGAAAAATGAAAAGAAAAGAAAAAAAGAAAAATGAAAAGAGAAAAGAAAGTTTGCAAACCGAAATATTTCTTGGTTTTCTGGAGATGACTTAAACAGGGTTACAAGTGTCAAATGTAAATATACGAGCATGACTGTGCGCCTGTGTTTATCCATGTGTTTTTATATGTGTGCGTGTCCATATGCGTGACTATATATGCGTTTGTGTGGGGGCTTGTAGACGTTTTGTGTGTGTATGTTAGTTGCATGTTTGTGTGTGCAAAAATGTGTATATGTGTGTATATGTGTATGTTTTTATTTATATGAGAACGTTTGCAGGTATATGTGAGTGTTTGATGAGCGTATATATATATATATATATATATATATATATATATATATATATATATATATATATATATATATGTGTGTGTGTGTGTGTGTGTGTGTGTGATAAACGTCTATGCGTGAGCAGCTAATATTTAATGTAAGATTTTTAACAGTTTAATATTGAAGATCCTACATTTTTCAGAGGAACTTTTATTTTAGCGCGCATGGGCACACAGATGCATACACACAAAATCGTGTAATATATATATATATATATATATATATATATATATATATAAATAAATTTATATAAATGAATTTATATATATATATATATTTATATATATATATATATATATATATATATATATATATATATATATATACCGAGAACACATTTTCTTTATTAAGTTTTCATGAGTGCGCACGCATGCCTGCTGACGTAATACGCACTGTTTAAAAAATAATAAAGAAAACGGGCGTCTATTTCAAACACCGGTATCCAGTAAAAAATAGCATTTAAATAATAAAAATCGGTTTAAAAAATAAATCTAGGATTAAAACTTCTTCATATATATATATATATATATATATATATATATATATATATATATATATATATATATATCAAATATGAGTAGGAAATCGACAAAATGACTGGATTAAGAACAATTAGAAAACAAATCTTAATCTCACATGTTTTTACTTTATTAAAGCATCGTTAGAGATCAACATAGAATTGATAAAAAATTATATATATATATTGCGTACATTTTGGCACCATAGTTTTACTAAGCCACGTTTTATTGAATAATTTCGACAAGTTTGTCTACTTATTTTCAATAGGATCCTCACATATTCCCTCACAAGCTTCTCAGTATCATTATTAAAGGAAGAGAGAAAATTACCATGTTGATATATATGCATCTATTTCGAGTACTTTCGACATTTATCCGTGAATATGAGAGGATCCTATTGAAAATAAGTAGATAAAACTTGTCTAAATTATTCAATGATACATTTCTTAATATATATATTCTTTTTATAGTTTATTTAAGTAAATGCTCTGTTTATAATAAATAGTATTAACCAACATTTACCGGCCTGAATGTCCGAGAAATTTTCACAGAAAATATCCATTCTCCGACAGGATTCGAACCTGCATCCTATACAGAACTGTTATTTAGCTTGAAGTGCCTTTACCGATGTGGCCACAGAACCGCGTTCGGTTAGCCAGGTCGAATTTATTGTATTTAAACTTCAATCTTCCATGAATCTCTCACGTACATTCATATCTGCTCATGGTGTATCAAATGTAAACAAATGACGTCACACATTATGAAATGGACAAAGTCCAACAATTATTTTAAGACATTTTATGTTTATACATTCTTTTTATAGATACAAATATTTAAGTAAATGGTTTGTTTATAATAAACAGTATTAAACAACCTTTAAAGTCCTGAATGTCCGTGAAATTTTCTCCGAATATATATATATATATATATATATATATATAATATAATACTTTTTCTCGATATATACATATATATTATTTTTCTCGAGTAATTGCGAATGTTTCTACATTTTTCAAGGATTGTGTTTTGTGTATGTTTATGTAACTGTCTTTGACTTGGTTAATTCCAGCGTTCTCACGTTTGCTGGTGCCAATTTCAAGTCACTGAACGTAACTTGACCGTTTAAATGACGTCATTTTCAGTGACTAGAAATTGGTTCCAGCAAATGTGCGAACGCCGGAATTAACCAAGGCAAAGACAGTGACATGTGTGTGTGTGTGTGTGTGTGTGTGTGTGTGTGTGTGTGTGTGTGTTTTCGTGTATGTATGTATTTATGCGTGTGTTCCTTTTTATTACGTAATAAGTGTTTAAAGATTACAGAGAAAAATAGGATCACTTGGCCTTTACGATATTCATATGCTAAAAATTAGTAATAATTATAATTACTTACTAATATTAAAATTCTTTAGAAAGTACATTTATTTGATTGAAATTAATTTTAATTTTTTCTTTAATTAAAACACGCACATAGAAATTACTTAAAAATTAATATTTTTGTTTCAAAAGAAAATATTTTTAAAAATTTACAACAAAAACTGATATAGTTAACTGATTTTACAGATACGTTTTTAGTACATTCTGCGAGAAAAATAGAAACTTTTTATTTTGCCAGCTAAATTGTCTAATATATATTTATTAAGTCAGTGTAACATAATGTGACGCAAGATGACAATTCTGAATCCTTTAAGAAACAGTGAATAGAAAAACAAGAAAGAAATGAAAGAAAGCCTTAGTGTTGCCGATGAGAAGAATGCAAATACTCTTTAACGATTAAATTGAAGGCGTTATTAAGTTTCCTTTCAATTTTTTATATTCACATCCGGAAAGCATATTAAAAATAATGTCTACAAAAACATTATATTACATTAATGATGATACATTAATTGAAAATTTAGTACGTGTATAGTAGCTAGATGGGTGACTGCTTGGGAATATCAGGTGCTGTAAGCAATGGATATGCACATGTTGTCTTGGATAATTAGTCGCAGTTATTGATTTGGTGGGGGGCTAGTTCCAATTCCCGTTGGGTTCGTTATATTCATTTACGAGCAAATAACCTTGGCAAAGGTACGGATTCACTACTTCTTCCCCAGATAAGGGTTAATTAGTAAGGCTTGTATCACTAAATCATTATTATCTCCAAAAAACTTCTTACAAGCTAAAATAAACCAACTACTAATTTGACATGTTGTCTCAACATTTTCTGATATAATCCGGTAACTTGTTTCAACAAAGTAATATCGTTCTTTATATCTATCTATCTATGACGAAATGCTGAAAAGTAATCAAAGAGATTTCTTCCTAAAATCTGGCTAAATGAGTAAACATCTCAGTTTTTTGGAATGGCTTATTGATAGGGCCGAGAGCCTTTTAGTAGTTCCTCGTATCTATATACGATTCATACATAAACAAAGTAAAATGCACTCCTTAACTGTTAGTAATTAGTTAATTCCCCTAAATATCCATGCTGGCTTTTCGCTTATCTTAGGTTTCTTTATTTCACGTTTTTTTCTTTATATATTAAGCGCTCATCAGTTGTGTTGGAATGAATTTGCAGTGTTTGAAGTGAAAAAAAAGCAATTGATGCGATTACGGGAAATGGCAGGCATTCATTACCTATCCGATAATTGGTTAAGAGATGTTCATATTTAGATTATATGTCAATTTAGCAAAATGAGGACACAAATCACAGTGACTCATTTCGGCAATCTCATCAATTAGTAATTTATCAGCTTACCTCATTGTCTTAAAAGGAATCTATAAACTTTGATATCTATAAATGTACCTTGTTCTCTTCCTAAGTAGACCGAATTAGGAACAACACACACACACACACACACACACACACACACACACACACACACACACACACACACACACACACACACACACACACACACACATATGTGTGTGTGTGTGTGTATGTGAGTGTGTGTGTTAATTTGATGAAAGAAATTTGAGTGATAAAATACAATAAAAATAATAATGGTAATAAAAATAGTAATAATTATTCTATATTATTATGTCTTTAGACTAAATACAAACAGTATGATGAGAAAAGAATCAGAATTTTCGGACACGCCTGTGTCCTTTTCTAATTTGAACTTTTGGGGTAATTCTTTTGCGTATGCGTTATATTACCGATGAAATTTAATAGTTTTGGGGGTAGTTGTTTGCAACTATTAGGGTTGTTAGAGGATTTGTAGATGGCTTATTGTGGAAAGTGAGTATGCCTAAATTGCTATTTAAACCTATGAATTTATTTTATCGGCTTATTTTATATAAATATAAGAAGTATACCTGGACAATCTTTGTTTACTATTATATAAGTTCTATAAATCAAAACAAAAAATGACTTTATATATTTACCTATGACACTATTATCGTAACCAGAACAATGTAGTATTTTAATAGCAATTGGTGGGAACATGTTGCTTTTTTATTTCTTTTGTTCTTTGTTAGCTTTGGATAATTCTACTTTTAATGATTTCAAAAAGAAGAATTAACTGAATAATTTAAATAAAATTTAAATAAAAATACTGCATGAATCATTCAGAAAATGTAACCTATATATATATATATATATATATATATATATATATATATATATATATATATATATATATTGTAAATTACTTAAATGTATACATAATTAAATATTGCTTTTTTGGTACTGGTAAAATAGTATATTAATCAATAGGCAAATATTTAGTTAAATCTTTCTTATACCTTTATGGACCGTTTTTAGTAATATATATACGAAATTAACTTATATATCTATTATTTTAAAACCTGTTTGGTGTATAATCTTAAGATCATATTACTATTTATGGCATTATATAGGTAAGAATGCGTGTATTATCTAGCTGACAAAGTGTGACAAAGCGTTTGCTAGTTTCTGCAAAACAAACGAGTCTTATCAATAATGCGGCTATTTTCACTGTCTCTATGATTGGCTACCGGTCTTGAAGATTGGTAATCGCTGTTCTTATGTAAACCGGAAATTCTCTGAGCTGTCACGTTAAGATTGAAAACTGGCAAATGTCCAGCTGATAGTTCTAATATCACCTGGAGATGATGACGTCCTGCCAGGAACTTAAACTCAGAAAAATTACAAGAAGAAATGATATTAAGTATAGCAGCTTTGTCATCAACACCCAAATCGGAAGCCTTAATCCAGCCACGGTGTCAGGGAGAGACGTG